AATCCAATAAGCTGCTTCAAGCAATTTTGAATTAAGGTATATGCGCAAGTTTTCACAAATCTAAGTTAAAGGAGACAAATCCTTTGTGGTGGACGGATGTCCAAGACTGTGCATTGGAGAAGCATATGGGAGTTGTACGGGCGTCTGCTCCCGTTGCGAGGGGACCAATATTAGAGCCATACGATACCTAATTTGTGGAGAACAAAATTAAAATAAGGCTTTGCCTCTAAGGGTAAGCGGGAGATTAATCAGTCGGTTTGTGAATCGTTAAAAATAAAATTACGGGCCTATATACCTTATGTAAGTATTAAGAAAAAAATAAATTAATGCTAGTTTTGAGTGATTTTAAATGTGGTTTAGAAAAATAATTAGTGTATTCTGTTTCTTTTCCTTTTTCAATTATTGCGAAATGAGAATTCAAATTTAGATATTAAATGTAGTTGGATACTTCATTGTTAGGTATAAAACCATATATATAGCGAGAGTGGGAGAGTTAGAGCTTTTAATTATGAGTTTAGAGTAATAATATAGTCAAGGGACACAAGATTGTGAAATAACTTCAGTAAAATTACTTTTAAATTATTTTTATTTTTTATGAAATTAACCTATGATAATTTAAATAAAAAAATTTATAAATTATGAACCTAAATTAATTAAATCCTAATTTCAATAAATTATCAAATGGACGGGTATTAACTGTATATATATATATATATATATACATACCATTTATATTTTTCCAAAATTTTTATATTATGCATCTTTTTTGTTTTCTTTGTTTGTGGAAATTAAAAATTATATAAAAAGTTATCATTTTTATTTAAAGTTTAATGTGAAAATAATGATTATTTCAAAAAAGGAGTTTTTCTCATTGATTTGAAGATTATGAGTACAAATAGAAGCTAATATATAATTAAAATAACAATTAGTAAATATTACAAGATAATTTTTCAGTCCTAATAAAATAGTTTCATATTTGTTTTGATTATATATAAAAGGATAAAATTTATTTAGACTCGATTTTTAAGCCCATTTATGAACCAAACCGATCGCCATATAAATTTTTTAAAAATTATTCTCACTCAATTTTTTTCCCAGTGAATAATAAAAAATAATCGCATGTAAAAAATACATATATTTATACATTTTTTCTTCGTTTAGTCTACTAATGAGTCTACAGACCAGGTGCAGGAAAGTCATTTTCTGCATACAGTGGGGCCATGAAACTGTCGATATTACTAAAACCGCGTATGAGAATCAAATTCTGCATGCTTCTTCCATTATTAATGGGTGGTTTTTTGATGGAGAAAGCACACCAAATTCTTTTGTTTCTTTGTGTTTGACTTCTTCATCACATTTTCTAATTTGTTTTGATTACTAAAGACTTACATAATGTTCGATACCTACCAATTAATTTTCTCATAAATCTTTTTAATTTAACAATAGCATCAAGAGATTGATGCATAAAATTATCATAATAAGAATCTTAAATAATAATATTAAAAATAATTTTACAGTCAAGTTGCATTTGTTTTACAATCTTATAACTTGTAGCGTTTTAACCGGTTAATTAGGATTATAATTAACCATAACCAAGTTAATTTTCTTAGAAAGATTATTCATCTGGAAAGATTATCATAGGGTTAGAAATTGGATGGTCGCCCTCCAATTCAATATTTTCTTTGGCTAGAATAACCTTTTCAATAATAGCTGAGAAAAGCTGTTAGCTTCTTCAATATGGATATATGACTGAAAGTGATTTGGTGTGGGAGTTTTGGTAGCTAGATTGTCACACGCCTTCAATTTCATTTCTTGATGAGACAAAAGTAGTGTAAAGGCCAACAATAGCTGCAGCAATTTGAATGCCAATTCACAAAATCTAAGTTAAAGGAACAATCCTTTGTTGGAGAATGTCCAAGACTAGTCATTTGGAGAAGATATGGGATTGTACGTTGCGAGGGGACCAATAATAGAGCCATACGATACCTAATTTTGTGGAAGAACAAAATTAAAATAAGGCTTGCCTCTAAGGGTAAGCGGAGATTAATCAGTCGGTTTGTGAATCGTTAAAATAAATACGGGCCTATATACCTTATGTAAGTATTAAAAAAAATAAATTAATGCTAGTTGATTTTTAAATGTGGTTTAGAAAAATAATATGTTTCTGTTTCTTTTCCTTTTTCAATATTGGAAAATGAGAATTCAAATTTAGATATAAATGTAGTTGGATATTCATTGTTAGGTTAAACCGATATATATAGCGAGAGTGGGAGAGTAGAGCTTTTAATATGAGTTTAAGTAATAATATAGTCAAGACACAAGATTGTGAATAACTTCAGTAAAATTACTTTTAAATTATTTTTATTTTATGAAATTAAACCATGATAATTTAAATAAAAAAAATTATAAATATGAACCTAAATTAATTAACCTAATTCAATTAAATTTCAAATGAGGTATTAATTGTAAAATATATAACATGAGATACAATCCCACGTGAATTAAATACAATATATTTTAAGACAAAGTATAAACTTAAAATTTATAATTCAAGGATTGAAAATATATTTTTTTTAAAAAAATTATGTTTTTTTTAAAAAAATAGTTAGATTTTAAGTCCTAAATCACCTAAATCAAAAGACAAAGATTATTTAATCACTTTGCAACTAATTGAATAGCTTAATTAGTCTAATTTTTGGGTTATATGTATTGAAAAGAGATGGAAGTGTTTTCTTGGTTTCAAATATGTAGCTAGTCTCCATCTTTTGAGGTAATAGACGATCGAAGCAAGAAGTCAGTAACCAAATTGATGGATTGAGAGAAGACATGTGGGTGGAACAGGAAGCTTCAGCAGAAGATGAACAATTTTCAGCTAATGGACACAATTAAATTAATTGTGCATTTTGTAAGATTCTTCATTTTTCTACATAAATTTTATGTCTTTTGCCGTCAAATTTGATGTCTTTTTGTGCGTAGAGACGTGTTAAATAATTGTGAAAAAGACAACAGTCATAAATTCTTGGTGTGTCATTGACAAAGAAGGGTTATTTGGATGAGATGTTAGATAAGATTGAATAATACAAATAATATAATCGTCCATTAAATTTTTTCAAGCAAAAATATTTTTATTAATTTAATAAGTGAAGAAAAAGATTATCCGTATTATATAGTTTATAATATTATTTTTACCATTTAAAAACTATTTGGAAACTATAATGCTTGAATGTCTATCGATTATCCATCAAATCAAAACTTTAGAATTGCTTCATTGTGATAAAATTGACATGATTAGAGAGCATTAGAGCTGGCTTCTTCCAAAGGCCAAGTCAGAGTTATCCTCTCTAAACCTAAAGTTTCAAACTTTAATTTAATTATGTGTCACAGTCACCAATAGTTTGTCTTCCTTTTTTAATCTTGACATAACAATTTCCAATATAATACGCAATCAACTAGATTAATTAATTTTTAATTAGTCATAATTGCTAACAAGTCAAGGTTTAAATAAGAGTTTCCCATATCCAAGCAAATGGGTTTTTGGTGGCTGTTGTTGGGTTATTTATTGTTCTTCTCCTTGTTTTGATAGAATTGTCCACTCCACTTTTTGTCCCTACTTGTACCTTCCCTATGATATAGGCACTTCTTAGAGGGGCTCGTTGTAATTGTAAATGCTTTAACATGATTGGGATTTGTCCTAAAACGACGCACACATGAAAAGTTCATAGTTACTAAGTTGAACTAGAAATAGTTTCTTATTGATGTCATGTTTTGGTCATCCATAGAAGAAACTTATATCCTAAGAAATGAGACGAGATAATAGACGGTTATTTTCTATTAATAAAAAATTTTAAATTTAAATTTTAGATATAAAGTTCCTTTAAGCACTCGAGAGAGAGCAATTTATCATTTTTATAAGCTAAACCTAAAGTGAATCTAAATTAGTCGAGCAATGGACTTCAGATATCATACGGTTAAAATTAAAAAAAAAAAGAAAAAATTATTTGAAAGCTCCTTTTTTATATGTTCATATAGAACTAAGGAACAGTGAATGCCGACGGTTAAAAAAAAATTATTTGAAAGTAGTTTTCTTGTATAGGCACGTAAAACTATGGAAGCATATGTCATATTATATACACAAAACACTATGACTATGTTGTGGCATAAATCCAAGCAAAGGGAAGCATCAACTAAGGTCTAGAAGAAATTTTTATGGAAATTTCAATAAACTAAACTTGAAATTTTGACCTATTGTTGGGAAAAGTAGGATCGAGATAAATTTTCAAGATGCAATTGCTTTGTTATGTCATGCATGGAAAATCTTTGTAATAGGACATATATATTAGTTAATAATCCAACATGCTAATGGTATATTGGTTTTGGCAATAAGACTCAAGATCTATTATTATAATAAAATATTTTAAAAGAAATAAATTGATTTAAATTTAAATTTTTGACCTCATGCATTATAAAATAAATACTCGATTATATTACTATTATTACACTAAGATCATATTTTAATCTATCAATTCTTCATAATCTATTTCTGTTTTAAAAGAAGTGTGTAACTATACATATACATTTGTATGAAATAATCTTTTATAAAATGAATTAGTGGACTTGAAGTTGCTATTAGATTGTTTATTTAAATACTCATACATATGGAATAAGTTTCAATCATAGAAAATATAAAATTACATGTATAATCATAAATTTTAGCTAAAATATAATTTTTTTAAAACTTTCCTTTTAAGAATAATTATCCGTAAAATATACTTGTCTAACTACTCAACTACACAAATGCACTCATCCTCCTATATAAATAATTATATGGATTGGTCACATATAGGCTTATTATTAGTTATAACGAACATAATTATCTTAATTAATCTCTAAGTGCCGTGATTGAATTTTCATATATATATATATAGAGAGAGAGAGAGAGATTTGTCATTTTGTTAAAGAAAGTAGCCCTTCTCCAACCCTTAAATCTCCCTATAGCACTCAAGTTCTTGCTTCTAAATGTCCCAAAAATTTAAAAACTTGGTACAAATTTAATAAATCTTAAACCTCTTTCAATGCTTACTATTTAAGCAGGCCTAAATATATTACTTTGCAACCCCACAAAAATTAAATCCAAAGTCCTTTCTTCCCCACCTCTCTCTCTCTCTTTCTTCTTTTCCTCATATAGGGAGGAAACACCAAGAACAGCCCCAATGGCCTCTTCTTTCAATTTTCTTGCTAAACTAATTATATTTTCCTTCATTGTCTTGCAAACCCAAGAATCTCTTGCTTCAAATAATCAAACTTCATTAGTATTGCCACTCAAAACCCGTAAACATTCTCATTTTACCTCAAGACTCGTCACCACCGACTCCTCCCCCGCCAACAAGCTTTTATTCCACCATAATGTTACTTTAACGGTGTCTCTAACGGTGGGTACGCCGCCTCAGAACGTTACAATGGTTCTTGACACCGGCAGTGAGCTTTCTTGGCTTCAATGCAAAAAAGCTCCAGGCTTGAACTCCATTTTTAACCCTCTGGTCTCCAAAACTTACTCTAAGGTTCCATGTTCTTCTTCAACCTGTAGGACCCGAACCCATGACCTTACCTTACCTGTTTCCTGTGACTCCGCTAAGTTCTGTCACGTTATTGTCTCCTACGCCGATGCTTCCTCTCTTGAAGGAAACCTCGCGTTTGATACATTCCGAATCGGGTCATCCAGTAAACCCGGTACAATTTTCGGGTGCATGGACTCGGGTTTCAGTTCAAATCCAGAGGAAGACGCGAAAACGACTGGGTTAATGGGTATGAACCGTGGGTCATTATCATTTGTTAACCAAATGGGTTATCCGAAATTTTCTTATTGCATATCGGGTATTGATTCTTCCGGTGTTTTACTTCTCGGAGATGCTAGTTTGCCGTGGCTGAAACCTCTGAGTTACACTCCTTTAGTCCAAATATCAACCCCATTACCGTCTTTTGATCGGGTCGCTTACTCAGTTCAACTCGAAGGTATTAAAGTTAATAACAAAATTTTATCGCTGCCGAAATCGGTTTTTGTACCGGACCATACCGGAGCAGGACAAACCATGATGGACTCGGGTACCCAGTTCACATTCTTGTTAGGACCGGTTTATACAGCTTTAAAAAATGAGTTTTTGTTACAAACTAAAGGAGTTTTAAGAGTTCTAAATGATGATAATTTTGTATTCCAAGGTGCAATGGATTTGTGTTATTTAATTGATTCCTCCCGGCCGAGTTTGCCAAAATTACCGGTTGTGAGCTTGATGTTTCAAGGGGCCGAGATGAGTGTATCGGGAGACAGGTTGTTGTTTCGGGTACCGAGTGAAGTTAGAGGGAAAGATTCAGTGTGGTGCTTTACATTTGGGAACTCTGACTTATTGGGTGTAGAATCATTTTTGATTGGTCATCATCATCAACAAGATGTTTGGATGGAGTTTGATCTTGAAAAATCAAGGATTGGATTGACTCAGTTTAGGTGTGATGTTGCTAGTCAAAAGCTTGGCTTGTCCATGTAAAGACAGAGGAAAACTATTTTGTTGCAAGAGAGTGTTGGGGAACAATTGTACATATATACATGAGATTTTATGGACAATTTTCTGGTCAAAAGTATACCATGGATGATATATATATATATATATATATATCGCAAAATTACCGGTTGTGAGCTTGACCCCTGTTTCAAGGGGCCTCAGAAATGAGCTGTATCGAGATAATCAGGTGTTGTCGGGCGGTACCGACGTGAAGTTAGAAAGGGAAAGATTTCAGTGTTGTGCTTTAACATTTTGGGAACTCTGCTTATTGGGTGTAGAATCATTTTTGATTTGTCATCATCATCACAAGATGTTTGGATGGAGTTTGATCTTGAAAAATCAAGGATTGGATTGACTCAGTTTTAAGGTTTGTGATGTTGCTAAGTCAAAAGCTTGGGCTTGTCCAGCTCTGTTAAAGACAGAGGAAAACTATTTTGTGCAGGAGAGTGTTGCGGGAACAGAGTAACATATGTACATAATAAGTACATTGCGATTTTATGCGCCAATTTTTAAACTGGATCAGAACTATTTACCATGGATTGGGATTATATACCATAAAATATAAGTATAAGTATATAATTAACTGTGTTTAGGCTAGAATGCATTCTTAAGATTTCACGAGGGTTTTCCTATTTTAAAATAATAGAGTGTATTTATTTTTATATATATATATATATATATTACTTTTTAGCTAAATTGCATTTTAAATTCACAATTTTCCTATTTTAATAATAATTATTATTTAGCTTATACTTAGATTAAAAGTGGTATTCAAATAAAATCATTTCAACAGTGACAATTCTAGATTTCGAACTATTGAAAATTATATTAATACATTATCTGATTTAATTTAAATTTGAGCTGTTGAAATTTTAATGCAATTATCGTTTTGTAGTTTAAGCATGGATAGATCTAGAGATGGATTTAGGTATCTATGTGATCCGGTTGATAAAAATAATCAACATGGACAATAGTTTTTTAGTCTAAGTTTGGTTCATGCTAAGCTTGTAAGTTGTAATGAACTCTATTTAATTTGGATTGGACATATCTATCAAAATTTGGACTATGTTTAAATAAAAATTTTTCAAGCAGCCTAGGTTTGGATCTAATCAAAAAGATTTGAGCCCATCCAAACCCCAGTTTAAATAAATCTAATCATGAACAATACTTTGTATAAAAAAAAGTTTTTATTTGATTTATTTTATGACCACGGTAAGTCAATTTTTCACGTGCTATTAATAATTAAATGCTTAATTTTTATGATGGGCCCCATTGTATAATTTAGGGCCAGAGTATGAATAGAATAGCAAATATATTGCTAACCAATCCAAATATAAAAAATTCAGATAAATTATTATTTTATCTTTTAAATCAATTAATAGACTATTTGTTTTTATAAAAATTTATATTTTTTATCAGGTAATTTTCAAGTGTAAAGATCTAACTTTAATTTTGGTTTTATTATTTAAAAGAATATAAATTCTTTTAGTTTATTCAAAAAATTAGGAAATCCTGTTAACTATTGATAGTACTATTATATGAATATTTATAACACTTGATATTATTTTTAATAAATAATATTGAAAAAAAATGAAGAGAAAATACAATTTTCATGGTATTCCTCGAATCTCTGTCGGGTTTGGTGAAGTTGAGGACAGAGAATAAAATATTGGTTAGTTGTTGGTATAATATTTTGGAGCAGGTAATTTGTGGTTATGGCTGCCAGCCCATTTTGTTTTGGTTTTTGAAGGGAACTATACAATACGGATAGGTGCTCTGTTTTCATGGTGCATTAGATTTAGATCACATCCATCTACGAATCTGTCAAAATGTCTATATATATATTATATATAATTGAGTAGTTAACAAATAAATTAACAAGAGCACATAAAAATCAAATAAAACATTTGATAAAATAAATTATTAATAAATATTCTTTTAGGAAGTTTTTGAATCTTAATTAGGAAGTTTGTTCAATCTTAATTAGAAAACAATCCTAATTGGAAAGTTTTGTCAAATATATATATTTCCATTAATTGATGAAATAAATTACTAATGAATATTATAATATTCGGCTAGGAAGTTTGTTCAATCTTAATTAGGAAGTTTGTTGAATCTTAATTAGAAAAATTATAATTGGAAAGTCTTGTCAAATATTAAAATAAGAATTAAACTTATTACAGAAATTTTCTCATATCAAACCATACATACATATATATTTTTATTGCAGAAATTATTAATATATTTTATTGAGAAATTATTAATATATTATATAATATATATATATATTATTTTTCTTTGGCAAAAAAAAAATCAATTCTAACAATTTGATCTTTGTATTAGTTGCATAAAAAAATAAATGAATTAATAATTATTTTTAAATTAGTCTTAATTTGATTAGTTATATTGGTTTTACTACCTTAACTTAAAATCATATTTACATAAAAAATTAAAAAAAGTTATTTTAAATTATATTAATAAATTAAGTGTTGTAAATAAAAAAAATATAAATATATATCATTAAAATTCACATGGTTATGACTAATTATATATTCCATATAAATGATTATTTAACAATATATTTTCTTTGTGCAAAAAAAAAAATCAATCTAACAATTTGATCTTTGTATTAATTGCTAAAAAATAAATTGAATAATAATTATTTTTAAATAGTCTTAATTTGATTAGTTATATTGTTTTACTACTTAACTTAAAATCATATTACATAAAAAATAAAAAAGTTATTTAAATTATATTAATAAATAAGTGTTGTAAATAAAAAAAATTATAAATATATATCATAAAATTCACATGTTATTGACTATTATATATTCCATATAAATGATTAATTAACAAATAAATTAACAAGTAAAAGAACCTCAAGCAATTTTTCAAAAAAATTTATTTTTCAAAAAAATTAATTAACACTATATATATATGTGCGCGCGCAAAAAAAAATACCACTAACAAATTTGAACTATGTATTGGTTGCTAAAATATAAATTGAAGAATAATTATTTTTAATAATCTTTAATTTGATTAGTTATATTGGTTTACTACTTAACTCAAAATCATATTGCATAAAAAATAAAAAATTATTTCAGATTATATTCATAAATAAGTATTGAAAATCAAAACATTTTTTTTTATAATATATATCATAAAATTCAAATGTCGTTGACGATTATATATTATATACAAATAAATTAACTAGTAAGAGAACGTCAAGCAACTTTCTTTTTTTTTTTTTCTTTTTTAAAAAAAAACATCAACAAAACGTGAAAACTTATTAAATAAAATATTTGATAAAGTAAATTTCCAATAAATATTAATAATATTTGGTGAAAAAGTTTGTTGAATCTTAATTAGGAAATTCCTAATTGGAAAGTTTTCTCAAATATTAATTAGGAATTAAAATTTATTGTAGAAATTATCCCATCACACCACTATATATATCTACACTTTGTACAAAACAAATCACTACTAAATTTTATTCAGTTTGGCTATCAAAGAGTTTTGCTATCCGTAATTTTGTTTGTCTCGCTATCAATTGTTGGTTGGAGCTTCTCGCCGTATTATTGTTCGTCATTTATGTTTAATTTAAATTTTTATTATTTTATACCAGTGTAAAAGATTTTTTTTTTAATTTTGATATCAAAATTTTTTTATTTTTGCTATATAAGATTTGGTTTTGATTTCATAAAATCTTAGAACTTCAATTAATATTAATGTATATATTAATTTCTTTTATTTCTATTTGGATTGCAAATATTATTTCTACATATCACTTTTTAGATTAGCATTTTGTCATTGACCTATTAAGGTGAGAGAGTAAACCTAACTTCATTAATCAATTAATTAAGTATAATTGTAATAGAAATTATAAATAGCTAAGTGAATTATAAAATTTCATAAATTTTGATTTTATTTTTTATTTTTCTATCTAAAAGGCCTTACATCTTCTTTGGGTAAAAATATAACAAACAAATGATTAAGCATTTAATGTAAATATTAAGATTTGCAATTTATATAAAATTAGCTACTGATAATAAAATTAACTTTTTTTAAAAAAAAAAATTACATATTTAATAATATTAATTTTTAATAACTTATCCCTTGCAAAAATATTTTAAATATAGAAAATTACTCTGATTATTTCTTTTAGCAATAATTAATGAAAAATCTACAACCACTAACAATAAAAGACACGTTGTTGGTACAGGTGTGTGTGTTGCATCTTCGGAGAGACTATGCGACGTCGTTTCCCTGTAAAATTCAAGCATAATTAAATCGAAAAAACAACAATTCCCACAAGCTTTTACGTGAGCGTGTTGGATTTAGGCAAAGACCCAAACCCAACGCGTCTGAGTCAAATCGCTCCCCTCTGACTCGTCGTCATCTTCTTCAATTTTTATCAAAAAAACATAAAAATAAAGAAAACAAAAGAAAAGAAAAAGGAAAATACTGCTAGCAAATCACCAGGAATCGATCCATACAATCAGATCCGGCGTGGTTTTCTCCGGTTAAATGTAAGTCCTCTGCCTCCTTTACCATTTCTGCATTTGACAAAATCACAGATAATTTTGCTTCCAACTCGTTTTTACATTTGTTGTTTCGTGTAAATAATTTGATTTTTGAGTTGATCAGGTTGTTTTAATATCGCGATTTGTGAATTAGGGTTTGACATTTGATTTCTTGCTTTGAGAAAAAATAGATATTGGCAGAATTTCTTTTCCTTTTGTTCTGTTTTGTATTATTTAGCAATCGATTTCCATTTTAATCAAAGTCATTTTTTTTTCAGTGTATATTACCGGAAATGACAGACAATGATCACATTTCAATTTATGAAGAATAAGAATTTCAGCTGAAAAATATATGAACTTGTTTAAATCAATTCTGCTAATATCACCTTGAAATTTAAAGCCTTTGAACCTTTTTTTTTTTTTTTTTAAATGTAGGTGTATTTTTTCTCATATCAGATTGTTTAATGCATGGAATTTTTTTTTTTTAAATTTTGATATATTAATTTTAATTTATTTATTTCTTCAAGAAATTGCAGTGGACCTGAACATTGGTGGATTATACATTATTGGAGAAGCTGATATTGTAATTATAAATAAGCATGAGTTTTGTATTTCGAGGGACTAGAGCAGATTTAGAAAATGGTTTCCCAGGATTTATCCCTGAACGGAGAGCAGTGGTAATGTTATTATTTTTTCTCTGCTAATATTTTTGAATCTGTATGTCCTTTTTATTATTTGCATATAGTTTTTTTTTTTTTTTTTCAATCTTCTTGATAATTATGTTTTATGTTGAATCTGGTTTTTGTTATCAGCGTGTCCATGCAGCACGGCCTGTTAATTCCAACTCCCTTGTTTTTCTCGTTACAGGTACTTGTTAATCATATGAGCATCCTTTTTGCTGATTAATTATTTAATATCAAAATTTTTAACTTGTTTTTCTAATTTCTGTATCTTTTCTTGCTGTGGCAGTTCTTTTATTGTTCATGATTCTGAATTCACAACAGATGTCACCTAACTTTCTCGTAAGTTTTTCACTGAAAATGTAAATGTGCATCTTTTGAGTTTTCTGGTTAATAATATTGTAGTTTTTGTATGTAGCTTTGGTTAGTGCTTGGTGTATTTTTAATGGCTACCACTTTGAGGATGTATGCAACTTGTCAACAACTTCAAGCTCAGGCTCAAGCCCATGCTGCCATGGCCAGTGGCCTTCTTGGTCATACTGAGTTGCGTTTGCATATGCCACCGTCCATAGCACTTGCAACTAGAGGACGTTTACAAGGCCTCAGACTCCAACTTGCACTTCTGGACCGGGAATTTGATGATCTAGGTGGGTCATACATGGCTATAATGTGTTTCAAAACGCTAATCATGAGTTTCAAAGAGTGATCATGAAATACAAACTGTCAGTTACCAGAAACTGTTTAGTTTTCCCTTATGGCATGCTTTTATTAATTAATTAAAATGATTATTCATGTAATGGAAACTTTTAACTACCTGCAGATTATGAAACTTTGAGAGCATTGGATTCTGACAATGTTCCCACCACTGCGGCAATGAGCGAGGAAGAGATAAATGCCCTTCCAGTTCACAAGTATAAGGTCGCTGCTCAGCAAAGGTATTCATGCTCTGTACTTCAGCGCTACTTTTTTTATGCTAATGTTAGATGGCAACATTTGAGTACAATGTTGCACTCTTTTTGGGAATTGGTGTACTTTTGTGTAATTGGCTCCTTGTGTGCCTTTTCCTTTGTGTGTAAATATAGGCAAGTAACTCTTGAGGTTCTTTTTTTTGGTTCTTTTTTTTTTTTTTTAATATTTCCAAATGCATCATTATGGTTGCTAGATTCAGTGGCAGATGCACATTTAAAATGGGGGGTAAATTGATCCCTCTTTTTTAAAAGATTTCCTTTATGTACCTTTGATATTTTCAAATATACCCCTCTTGAAATTAATATAAATCCTTTTTATAATACTTTATTATATATTGACCTGGAATTTTTTTATTTTTTTTTTTACATCTGCCACTGGCTAAATTCAATTATCCGCCCTTTTTTAATTGTCGGACAAGTTCCATTGGGAAAAAAATATTGCTTTTCTTGCTTAATACAATGAGCTTTGTTTTTCTAGGCTTCGATCATGCAATGAATTATTCTTTATGATACAATTTTATTCTATTACTTTTCTTTTATGTACTAGTCTTGGTCTGTTGCTTTTTACTAGAGATGCTTGTCCGAGTGTTTGTGATAGTTCTGTTGATGGTTGCAAAAGCACATAGGGTAGCCAAACTTATAGAGACAAAGGGGTGTTTTGTATAAATATTCTGCCCATGTAGCTATGGTGTGGCGCCCATGTAGCTATGGTGTGGCCATGCCTAGGAGAACTATATTCTACCAAATATTATGCTTGTGTGACATTGAAAGTGGAAAAATCTTTAGGTCAGCAACCTGGACATTTGTAATCCGAGTAATAGGGGGATGTGACTGTGAGTAACAAATTTTTGAGTTTTCCATTGGTAATTCAATTTCTCTGCTTATTTATAAAACATTTACTTCACAAAAGCAGTTTGAAAATACAGTATGCTTGTTTCATGGTCCTTTTGCATAATTCTTTTTTCCAAGGTTAAAGGGCAGAATTCTTTTTTTCCCAATATTTTTGAAGTGGTGTATTTTAAGTTATCTTGGATTTGGGGTTATTGATAACTTACACTGGGCTGGTTTTCTTGACAGTGGTGGCTCTTCAATCCAACAAGCTTCATCTTCTGACTCATTTGAGGTATAAACTATACTCTCTCTCTCTTTTTATGGATAAGTTCAATCTTCACGTTGGAACAAAGTTTATGTCATGCACATTGAGATTGAGATTTAAGACTATTGATTTTTTGGATTATTCGTCTGCACTAATTTATTAGCTGTATCTTTGTGGCTAGACTTGATGAACTCACAGATCAGGCTGGGTTTGATCCTGGCCAAATTGTATTGGCTTGGACCTAATCTTGGCCTAGCAAGTTGGGTCCAACTAGGTATACAAGTCTGACCCAATTTATTTTATGGGAACCTGAGTCCAACTCAACTTGGCCTAGGGATTTCTCTGAATTGTACCTTCAATGTCAATCAATAGCTGCTTTAGAAGCCATTGGAACTTGGATTCTCAAAAGATGAAGAGCACCCAGAATAACCCTCACACCAGTTGAAACGAGTCAGAGATCAAAAGATTAATATGGAGTTTATGGAAAATAGTTCAATCAGAGAACCAGCGATGCAGACAAATCAAGAAAAAAAGAAGATTAACAAATTTCAAGAATAGTTTCTCATGGTTGCATAGTCTCTCTCTTTCTCAGAGGGAGAGAGAGAGCAATAGAATGTGATCTTTTTGGAGGTTGGCTTTTATTTTGGGTTGTTTCTGCCTATTGATTTTATGGTTTTTGTTTAAGCTTCTACGATAGAAGACTTAAGTTGGGTCATGTTTTAGATTGGCTCATTTTGATGAGAGGGAGAAAGGAAACAGTAGTGCTGTGGTGGTGGTGGGAAACCCAAGGTTTGAAGTTTTAATATTTCTTAGGTTAGTGGTAATCTTCTAAAACCTAGATCATAATATTTATTATATCCATGGGCCAAGTCTAGAACATAAACCCAAAGGCTGTCTGGAATAATGTGTGTTCAAGCTGGGTTGGGCTTGGCCTCACTAACAAGATAAACCTTTGATTGATCCTGGCTAATTTCTTGGGTAGAACAGAAGGGCCTTGGCCAATTCACATGCCAAAGCCTCTGTTCTTCAAAATTCCTCACCTTAATATAAAATATTAATAGGATAGATATGTCTAAGTAAATTTGAAACAAGAGGTACTGTTCTTGTCTAAGGATTTGCTTCCAATTTGCTTAACAGGCATCTTCAATTATATATAGCTGTTCTGTGAGAGTAGATCTGCAAGGTGAATGCATGGGTTTGACAGACTTGCAGATAGCCAGAATTTTGGAAAATTAAAAGGAAAAGGTCAAAGTAAAAAAATTTCATGAATGCCAATAAGTCTTTAGGCCTTCTGTTTGCTTTTCTGAATGAGATTGGGAGTGCTCCCTGACCTCCCAAAACGTTATATCTGCGGAATATGGAATATTAGGAAAGAATTCAATCTTGTTGGCTACTGATTGTATATTCAGTCACAAGTCATCTGGACATCATATAAAATATTGGTATTGGTTGATGTTCTATTCATGCAAGGCCACAGCACTCGTCACTTGTTGCCACTGTATATTATTCTAACATCAAATTGGATTTCATTACCTGATGGCAATTTAGCTTACTAGCATTCATCATTAGAGTTTGATTCAGCTGTTCCTTTTTTCCCCCATAGCAAAAGCAGCAAGATACTGCCACTGCAGTAGGAAGCATGAAGGCTTCAGATGATGATCTGACTTGCAGTGTGTGCCTGGAGCAAGTAAATGTGGGAGAACTGATCCGTACACTGCCATGCATACATGAGGTTCAGTTTTTTGCAATTACTTTTAGCTTTCTGTTACATTTTTACTTTATTAAATAACAAGAATGTCAATCATCATATCATATACCTTCATTCTTTTGCACATTAATTGAAAACATAAATCGGCTCATTCTCAAGTTTGGTTTGCAGTTTCATGCTAATTGCATTGACCCATGGCTGCGGCAACAAGGGACATGCCCTGTTTGCAAATTCAGGGCAGGATCAAGGTGGCATGAAAATGGACAAGGTGGAATGGATGCTTCTTACATGGTTTGACTACAGGCACCGGCCTATATACCAGTGAAGTCATTCTGATGAAAATACCTGCTTATATGTAAGCCTATTGATCATGATGGAAGTTGTAACCTATATAACATTTTTGATTTAGGCATTTGAAAAAAGGCAGGTCTCTGTATGATCAAATTCAAAGGTCATTTATACTTCTTTTCAGAAAAAGATGTAAAAGGAACAAAAAAAAAAAAATATAACATCAATACAAGTATTACTGTGCACCAGAGCTTTGTAATGGGGTTCTATATTTGTTCTCATTTTTTATGGCCGTGAGAAGCATCATGTATTGTCTTGGTACTTGACAATGAAACAACTACAATACCCAGAAAGCCGGAAATGAAAAATCCTTGCAATCATATGGAAAATATAGGAAAAATGACTCAGATGACTATTTTCTTGTGTCATTTTGGAACTCCTAACACGAGCAAGAGGAACTTTTTTTTTCAATCCTAGTTTAAGCAAGCTTTGTCAATCTCTATTTAATATTTAAAGATCTCTCAATTCATCTATTCAACTATGCTGCCTTGCAAAACAACCACAAGGATACATTTTCTATTACTGGCTCAATATATTGAGTAAGACCATTGCTGCTTACTTTAAAGGCTTTATAATCACATAACAGCTGAGCATCAGTCTCAAACCACTTTTCTCAACATCAAATCGCATTTGTCCAAAAATCAATTATAACTCTCCCAGCCAAATAGACTAGCAGTTATATAGTCATTCATTGGGTCATCTCAGTTATTTCAAATCACACGCATCCATGCATATAAAAAGCACTAGGCCTTCCAAGCCTTCACAAGGACTATTCAAAACAGTCGGAACTAATTGCATATTAGAAATGTTAAGGTCTTATAAGCCATTTCAATCTGAATTTGGAAGCTAACAGCACATTATACATGTCAATTTCACATGGCTACATATGAGTTTCATGTATATCTTTACTACTTCATCAAATTTAATATCTTCATAAATAAATTTGTGATATAGCCCTATTTCGACTTTCCTTTTCCCTTCCCTTTCTTCGATTCAAGCTTGGCTTGCACACGGGCAGCTGCAGCAGCTTTGGCTTCCTCTCTCCTCTTTTTCTCTCCCTCTTTTGCAGCAGCAGCAAGCTCCCTTTGCTTCTTCAGCTCCCTGATAACAATTTTTCAGCATCACACAAAATGATAACTATCTTGTGCTCAACATAAACAATCTTTACAAAAGAATTGAAAAAGAGAAAAATTAATATCACTATTTTACTTTACACCTCAAAAGAATGAAGAGAAGAGATGCATTAAGTGTTACTTACTCTAGCCTAGCCCTCTCCTCTGAAACACTAATTATACTGGAGCCTTTCCGTGGTTTGCAGGCCACTAACTCCACCTCAAAAATAAGCGTTGCACTGCATCAACAAAACATACTGATCAACAGAGAGATCCAGACTAACCATTTCTAATAACAGACCAAGGATTGACAGATGATGATAACATTTTGAAGCACTTAAACCATTTAGTCTCAATTGTAAAAAATAGGGGGACAATGTCATTTGTTTTGGTGCAAGAATATCATATTGGTTTGTTAACCTTCCCCAATTTCTCTGCTGAGAACTGAAAGCTTGCTGCAAGTAATCAATCAGATCAGTCATGCTGCACATCTCTCAATTGGACCAGGAACCATGCTTTCACTTAATTTAATTATCTTAATTTTATTACTTTTATTATCAGCTTTTTCAGAAAGTGTTTCACAAACAAAGAAATTGAAAGACAAAGTGCAAAATGACATTACTCGGGTGGGATATCTGGTGGGGACCCAGCACTGCCATAGGCATATTCTGGCTTGCAAGTGATTTTTGCAACCTCCCCAACCTGGTACAATAAAACCAACAAAGATTATAGATATTTAACAAAAAGTTCGCTCAAATTGCATCAAGTGCATATTTCACCTGCATTGTTCTCAGTGCAACGTCCCATGCCTGGATGACAGAGCCCTTTCCAATTTCAAACGAGAACACAGTATTATCTTCACGTGTAGTATCAAAAACTTCACCATTTTCAGCAAGTGTGCCCTCATAATGAACTGCTCAAAACAAGCATCAAATATTAATTACATGACTCGTGACGCGTGCTGATCTCTGGACTTTGACCATATAGGAACAAAAAGAAAAGGAAAAGAAAATGTCACAACTTCACCAAACAGAGGCTTCAGAGAATAGAACTTTTAGCACCAAGAATAGATTCTCATTAATAAAAAGAATAACAATGCAATGATTGTCCAATAACAGTAACAATATCAGAATAGATGACAACAGTAATTGGTGGTTAAATGGACCAGCTAGTAGTCATGTGGATATAAGTCAAATACTACCCTCTCGCTATTCTTAGAAGTCGACAGCTATTATCCCAATCCAGGAGAGTGCCATCTTAAGCAAAAATGACATTTAGAAAAGTGCTTCAAGCTCTTAAAACTGAAAACTGGTGATGTAAAACAATCATATAAAGAGTTCATAGAGTTGATTTCTCGAGGTATTTCATTTATTAGATCTTTATAGTAGACTAACATAAGAACCGCAATTTCAATTCCAAACATGTTAAACAAAAGAAAGTGTTTGTACATAATCAGTTAAAAGTTACAAAAGGCTGAGCTTTTAGCTATCAAAGCAACATTAATTTCAGTCATGCTGATCAAAAGGCAACATTTACGTAATTCATTTGCTACACTGATAATTTGAATGTTGACCATAAGAGCATACCATCAACAAGAGGAAGATCCTCTGAAGGACCAATTGCACCAGCTTTTGCTTGCCTTATGATTGTCTTGATGACACCTCCATCTCCAGTTAAATCAACTGCATCACCCATGGCTCATAAAATCTTAAAAGCCTGATAAGAGAAAAGGAAGATCATATTAGACTTCTTGCATATACAACCTAGACATAAAGCAGCCTCAGCATATCAGGCTGAAAAAAAGGACACAAATACTAGTGCTTGCAGCAGAACTAACCATATTCACTACTGATTAAGTAATGTGCAAAGCCACTAAAATGAGCAAAATGAACTTAGACAATCAAAACAAAAAGGATTAGAAATTACAAGCAAGGACTCCAAGAAAAGTAGTAATTAATAAAAAACAAAAATAGTCACTAATCAATATAATAGTGATTAAAATCAATGACCCATTTGATAATTCATTTCCTTGAAAAATCATTATGCTGCTGATTTGCAGCCAAGTAGTGTGTGAAAGGTGATTCCTTTCTTTTTTTCACAATCTGATTTTTCTTTAATTATTCCTACTACTTCATTGAAAAGAAATGATAATCAACAATTTTCCATTCTTGAATTTCTGATCATACTTTCAAAAATATTCTGAACATAAAAAATTTCAGTCTAATTCCTTTCTCTTAAAAAACAAAAGCAAAATTAAAATTAATGCAAATTACGCAGAATTCTATTAAATTGGACTAATTGACCATTAAATCAGAATCTAACTAAGCTCAATCAAATAGAACATAAAATGAATCACAACCCTAGGGTTCCATTCTTCCTATTCAAGCATAAAGTCATAACAATACACAACTTCGCATTTCCAAATCTACACATACAGAAGGCTAATAAAATTTGTAAACAACGCAATAAACACCTCAGTTCATATATTGAACAATAATTCAAAAAATTGCAAAAATAAAAAATCCATAGAAGTTAAAAATTATGAGATAGAAATTTAAGTTATAAAGATGACTTTGGAAGAACTGACCCGTCGCAATGAAGTAGCAAAGAAATGGGGACGAAACGGGGAAATCGGAGACGATAGATCGGATAAATTGCAGTTGATATCGGTGGCCATATGCGTCTTTGGGCGAGTTGTTTTGACTGGAAGGAATAAAGCCGGCATTTTGTATGAGTTAAAGCCGAAAGGTCGTGGGCCTTGGCATTTGTTCTTCATGCTTTAGCCCAAGTTTCAGCCCTTCACAGATACTTTGGAGCGTATAACAGCATAAGGATCATTTAGTAAGGGGCCTGAGAAGCTCAAAGAAAGGAAAGTCTTTTATTCAAAGGGAAAATAATTATTCCATCCTGATGATTTATAAAATTAATTAACTCATTTTCGTATTTTTAGATATTAGTTATATAGTTTCCGATACTAAGTTTCGTCACATTAAATAGTCCTTAAATCTAAAATCAAGCTCTTTTCTGTTAAATGAGTGTAAAAAGTAAAAAATGCATATCTTTCTTTTATTTTGTGATCGACTATCTTTCGAATAGTCATTGTATAGATAAGTACGAATTTTATTATATAAGACTATGAAAATAAATTTAAGAAAAATTGTACAATATATTTGGAAATTGAAAATTGAGTAGTGTTTTTCTTTTCTGTTCAGATTATCAATTATTCTTCTTACCAATATTTAAAACTTGTTATTTCTAAATTGAAGAATAAATAATAAAACTTATTGTATTGAAATTTAAGAAAAGAATTTGCCTACTGTAACGAAATTTTATGACCCCGCCCATGGACGCAATAGAAGTAATTCTCTCCTTAACTTTATTTAATCGGTAAAAACTCCTGCAATCGAGTATGAAACATTCTACTCTTCACATTAAGGAGAGATTATCTAAATCACACTTAATTGGATCAAGTTTTTATTTATTTAGTTGTCCTAATTGATTAATCATCTACGGGACTATATATCATTTCACCATAAACGATCGTAAAAAACAAAAGGCCAATAGTAAGTACAAAGCAGTTCAAAGCCAACCCATCAAAACTTGAAGTAAGGCAAAGCCCAGTGATACCAATTGGATCCAATGAAACGTTAATCAATCGCCTAATTCTAGGGTTTATGACCAAAATAATATGGTTTATAAAACTATTTACAAAGATAATGTGATTCTGAACTTATTTATCAAAATAATGTGGCTTTTGTTAAGAAATTTTAAAGAAACTTATGGAACATAAAAATATATAGCACATGTAGATTCTGTGTTATCAAAACGCGACTTGAGAAAAAAAAATTATTAAAACACGACATATATAAATGTAAGATACAATATATATATTCCAATGTGAAACGTTAATCAATCGCCTAATCTAGGGTTATGACCAAAAATAATATGGTTTATAAAACTATTTACAAAATAATTGTTTGATTCTGGAACCTTATTTATTCAAAATAATGTGGGCTGTTGTTAAAGAAGAGTTTTTAAAGAAACTTATTGGAACATAAAAATATATAGCCACATGTAGATTCTGTGTTATCAAAACGCGGACTTCGAGAAAAAAAATTATTAAGAACACACAGTATATAAATGTAAAGATACAATATATATATATATATATAAATATATAAATATATATATATATATATATATATATATAGTACAATGTGCTTCACTGTAAGATATAGTACAATGTGCTTCACTGTAAGAGTTGATTATTAATTTGATTGAGACGTCAATTTAATGAGATATTATATAAAAATTCATTTTTGATATTAGTGTTTTGAAATTAAATAATATCTAAAGGACGAAATGTGATATTTCAACCTGACAAAGCAATCTTAATAGAGAGAGTAGACCAATGTTTCTGGCTAATTTCTAGTATGACATGCTAGCTGGGACAGTGAAATGTATGATGCATGAATGAATCGGATTATATATCGAAAAATGGGAAATTAATCATTAGATGTGTTTTTTGGTGGAGTAGCATGAGGAGTTGGAAGAATTCTAAAGTTAAGTATACTTTCTTAAAGGAAATTCTAGAATGGGTGACCTCATAGAAAGTTTTTTTTTTTTCACTACTGGATAAAACCGTGTGGGTTTTGCCAAGGTGTGACACTAGATGCATAAACACTTTATTTTATGAAATTATATCTATTAGAAGAGTTCAATAAAATGTTCAAACTTGTAAAATTAAATTGATTAAATATTTATTAAATAATTAAAAATATGAAAAATTATTATTTCAAAAATTATATTCATCAAACATTAATTCAATTTGTTGCATATAAAAAAAAAACAAAAATAAACAAACCTCAAAATCCATCCTTATTAATGTAAGGAAGTGTATAGTATTACTAGAGTTTGTAATTCTAGAAGCACAATAAATTTTAGAAAAGATTTTAAGTGGCACAAAATTTTTTACAGAAAAAGTTACAAAATGAATACTCATGTTGTTCAAAATATAAGTTATTTAAGGTTTTTGCATAAGAATTAAGGAAACAATTAATTCTTCGAGATTATAACAAACTCAAGAGTAATTTGATAAAATTATTTTTTATCTCAAAATTAATTTTTGCTTGTGAAGTATTTATTGCATTTAATGTAAACAATAGCAACATTGAAAAAATATCATTTATTACTTCTTGAAATATACAAAATGACTTATATTTTAAAATAAAATAACAAATAAAAACGACCTATATTTTGAAACAGAGGAATCTGTATTCAGCGAAGACAATAGTCAAACATGATGTACATGCTAATTTAAGTATGCATGCATTTAAAGATTGCAAAATGAATCAAAGTGCAATGTACATAAAAAAAAAAAAAAAAAAAATGGAATCAAAGTGCAATGTAACATAAAAAAAAAAAAAAAAAAACTAACACTCGTAATAATAATGCGCAGGGACTGCAGTGCATTAAAACTACATAAGTAGGATGCCAATGCCATGTCCTTGGAGCTTCAAACGTCTCCCAACAAACAAAATAGGCCCTCCTCCTCTCTGTCACAATAGTTGCTCACCTTTCATTTCTACAACTTCTAATGTATTCCATCAAATATATATATATATATATATATATATATATATATATATATATATATATATATATATATGTATAAACAAATTAATATATGTATAACAATTAAATTGCATACCCTAGTTATGAAATATTTGAAATTATTGGATTATGTTTTAGTTAGATTGCAATTGTAATTACATTATAACCTTTATAATTAATATTCGTTTTCATTTTGAAAAGTTTTACACCACACAAATTGAAAAGAAAAAATATGTTATCTATCAGTTAGAATTCAATTCGAAATAGTATTATATTAATTTATTATAATTTTAAAAATTTTCATTCAGCTGAAAATAAGAACGTATCTAATTACATTAAATGTTTATATAATTAAAAGGAAATAGTTCTCATCGTTGATTGAATATTTAGAATCAAAATCTCTATTGAGCCTAACAATCTCTTGTTACAGATTTGATAGAGAATACAGTGTAAAAAACACCTTCTTGCATCCACTTTTTGTTTTTTCAAAATTTGCAAGTTGGACATGATGAGTTTGGTGTTGATATTATTTAAGTGTAGAAATGAATAGAAGCATGATATTTATTTATCGCTTCTCAAAAGAAGTCCATTTCTTTAGTTTATACAGTAGTCTTCGTTTATCTCTTGTTCATCGTTATCATAAAATTTAAGGAAATTTCAAATTTTAAAAAGGATCTTTCAAGAGTTATTTTCTTTTATAATTTTTTTGTTGACTTATGGTGGAGAAAATGACAATTTGAACAGGGTTTTTCTAATTGGGTTCTTCAATATATTTGCAATAATTCAATTGTAGTATTGTTATTGGAAGAAAAATGAATAATTTTTTTGTTTTTTGGATGAGTAAGAGAGATGAAGACGAAGGAAAAGGGTACTTTTGTCATTGAAAAAAATTCCTCTGGTATTAATATTTTAGCTTTGAAAATATCATTACTCAGAAAATAAATTATATTAACTATTGCTCTTTTATTTATTTTATTGGTTTATGGAATTCCCCATTTAAATCACAACGATAATTTACTCATAATGTTCTTGAATACCGGAAAATTTTTTTTTTCTTAACGTAATTTTGGGGGGGGGGGGGGGGGGGGGGGGGGGGGAAGGAATTTCCACATCATAGGGGGGGAAGGAATTTCCACATCATACAACTGGGACCCACATAATTTGACCCAACCGAATCCGAAGAGGCAAAGCTCTCGTGATAAGGTTAGGGGCCCCGCAATCCCATATGAAGAGGAATACAGAATGGCCCACAGAAGTACTATGACACTATGACCAAATTGAATAGATACTCCGAATTTTGTGATTTTTTATTTAATTGCATCCTATTTTCAATTTTTTAACACCAATATCCTAAAATCAAAGTTAAAGAGTTTTTTATTTTTACATATAAAAATTTAATTAGGGTTATGGTTTAAAATAAAAAAATAATTTTAGAGTTCATACAATTGATATTTAAAAATTATCAAAATTTCATATTTTTAAACATTTATTACTAAATATGAGAAAAGAAATAAAAAAATAAATTATGATAGTGCCGGTGATAGCCAATTGTGGCTAGTGATATATGGTAGTAATATATGATAAGTAAAGATTAACATTATTAATTATATTGAATATTGGTGATTAGCGAATTAATTAATGTATGTTTGTAACTCTATAATAAAGTCATTTTCTTCTAGAATAATTTAACTGTCTCTTTACTAGGAAATATTTTATATTAATTGATTTTTCTGAGTGCCTTGAATATCAGAAAGTATAAAAAATATTTTTGGAAAGCTATTCTTAAAAACAACTAGTCTAATTTTATATTAATTGATAACTTTGAATGCCTCAAATATTATAAAATAAAAAAATTATTATTCAGGCATAATATTCTTAAAAAACAAACGGAATCTAAGTTTTTTTTTTTTGGGCAAAGCAATCAAAATGAATCAATTTGATCATTTTTCACAAGAAGTTCCATTCTCAATTCAAATTGAAAAATTGAAATTTTTATGTCTCGGTTTGATAAGTTAAAAAAATAAAATTAAAATTGAGCTAACCCAAAAAAATACTTGTAAAATAGACTAAATCATTGAACTATATCAACTCGATTTGAATTGATTCTAATTTAGA